CCCCAAAACCCCAAAACCCCAAAACCCCAAAACCCCAAAACCCCAAAACCCCATAAGCAAACAAATTATTGAAATATAATTTAAGGCTTCATCATGGAAAGTAAGAAAGAGAGGCTTAGGGCTGCTAGTTTATGTCCAAATTTGGCCCTAGGCTTTATAACATCTCTAACAATTCATAGAAAAAAATTCTAAAGGGACTAAATCTTACCTTGAGATTATTCTGCATCAGAAGAAGAGAAAATTGAGCTCAAAAGACTCCGAAGAAAGAGGTATGAAGAAGAAAAATAATAAAAGTCTTGACTCTAAAAGTATTTTTAATCCTAATCCCTACAGCCAAGTTACATGTGAAAACCCAAGCCAAGCCTCCTCGAACTAAGAAGGTCACCAGGTTGAGACTCTACAAGGTAAGAGTTTTTACATTTGGTTATAACTATATTGATAGAGCCCAGTCGTTAGCCCCAGTGTGAAGCCTGAAAATCAGCAATCTGTGATGTATAATAAAAACTTGATGAAGTCTCAGGAGAACCTTAAACCATTAATTATGGGTACTTCCTAATGGATTACTGATAGGATTAACCAAGGGTAAAAATCAGCCGAAGACTAACAACAATTCCAAGGAGAAATACTCTTGTAGATACCAAAGATATATGAATAACAACGCCAGTGAAAAGTAAGATCTATCCCAATTCTCGCATTAATAGTTTTAATAGGTTCCAGAAGAATAAAGGTATGGCTTTAACACTGACAATGGCTTATCAAGATTAGTTAATTATAGCTCAACTGTTCCAAGTACTATCAAAACTCCTAAGAATCAGAGAACTGAGATCTTGAACACACTTAGGAAATAGCAAGAGCAAAGTTAAGAAGAAGAATAGCAGACTCTGGACGGTCACTAAGTCCAATGTGTCAAATTTCCTGATAAATAATAGCAAGGAAGATCTTTTAGTTGAGAATAAACTTGAGTTACCCAATCCTATCGTCAAAGACTATGAGATTAAGTACAACACGTCCCAGGATAATAGTATTGAGAAGAAGGAATATGACAGTTTTATTGACTACCTCAGCCCTAATGGTATGCTTGTCTTCGTCAATTTAGATGTTAATTTCAACATTATGATAAAAGATAGCAAGGAATCCAAAATACAAAAATTTCACAAGCCAAATTACGTAAGGAAATTTGTTGTAATTCATATCAGGTGCCGGTGATTACGACAGATCTGATCCCACAGTCCTTAACTCCTATTGAGGCAGGCTCTCCAGTGAGGGAGGACCATTTATCATCAACATTGAACTTAGAAACACCAGAATCCCCTGAAAAATTTAATGTATTCCTTGAAGAAGAGACTTTGAAGAAATCTGAGGATTCAAAGGAAGAGAACTACAGAAATCCTGAGAAATAGTTCCAAAGAGTTGCTAAAAGAGAGTGAGAACCAGGAATCGGACCTTTCAAAGTTAGAGAATTATCTGAACTCCATAAAACCAACCAACTCTAACCTGCGGATTACTCCTCCAAAGGCCAAGCTTCAGAAGTATTTTTATAGTAGTGATGAAATTATTGATATGATCCTGTCATTTGAGGATGAGATTTCAGACCTCAGACTAAAACTAGAGAGAAGCTCTAATAAAATAGTACACTTTGCTGATAAAATATAGGAATTTGAGAAAAGAAATCTCAATTTTGAGAAGAACAGGCTGGTGAGCGAAAGCTACTCCCTCAAAAATGGCCGCACCGAGGAAAGTATTAACCGTAGGCTTAGAGGGAAATACGAAGACGAGCACATACGGTAAGGTCTTACTATTAACTTCTTAGGGCTACCAAGGCTTTGAAGGAAGTAGAGAGGCTTAAAGAAAAGAACCATCGTATGACTCTACCTTTTAACCCTATAGATCTTCGGAATAATCTCAATGAGCTTGAGGACAAATTTTACCAATGAGAGGAACGGCTGGTAAACTCTCAAAGATTTCTGGAGGATAACAACAACGCATCTCTCCTTATGAGCACTCTTCTAAAGGACCTTGAGAACTGTATTGAAACCTGTAACTCGGACAATATTTTCCAAAGCTTAGATCCTATAATAGTTGAGTATAAGTCCCAGTCTAAAGAGCTAGACATTGATGAGAGGTTAGAGTGCTTGAAAAAGAACACAATGTTTCTACTAAAGCAGAAGTCACGGGTTCACCATAATGGATCTCTAGACCACAGTCAGGATTTTGACAGCAGAGATATCTCAATCTATAGTGCTGGGTATAAGAACATTAGAAAACGTAACAGAGCCAAAGTCTCGATTTCCTTGATCAACGAGGCGACTAATAAACTAAAATTGCGAGACAGGAAGGGATCTGAAGGAGAAATATTTAATGTGAGCAAATGCCCTTACGACATTAAGGGTCCTGAACTCACTAAGAAGAGCAGCCAAGGGTACTTGGACATTAATTCCTTCTGCTCAGGTGATCTGAGAGAGGTCTCGATCAGGTCCAAGAACACTGACTCTTCAGCCTACGACTCCATAGCTGTGGAAAGCACGTTGGTGCACAAGGAAGCACTTGAACAGAGAATGAGGAAGGAAATTAAGATTTTGCGTGATGAGAATATTCAGCTAAAGATACAAGCTGAAAAAATGAAAGTGTTCGTACCAGTATCTCTTCTGCCAAAATCTGACAGTAAGATGTCGCTCCAGAAGAAGTCTTGGGAAATGACAGCAAAAGTCCTCAAGAAAGGCGGGAAAGTTAAGCTGTCCCAGAAGTTCAAGTACATTGAAAGCTGAATCCAAGAGCTAGTTGAGCGGCACCATGCCTTAAAGACTTATGCTCTGAAGATCCTACAGAATAAATGTGAAGAGAACAAAAGGCTGGAGGATGACATAGATGCCCTTTATGCCAAAATCGATGGCTATGAGTCAGAAATTGAGCACATGAAAGTCGTCAGTAAGCCCCTTCCTTAAAGCTTTAGACAGTAAGGCCATATTATCAGAGAGGCAAATTCAGGAGAAACTACTTGAAGTAACGAAGTAAATGTCTTGTTTGATTTTTAGATCAAAAGAAACCATGGAAGCACTCCTTAACAGTAATGTTGAGTTTACAGAACTCCAGAAATCCATCAGTGATATATTCTCTTTTTTACTGAGAGAAGGAAGAAAAAAATCCGAGGAAATGGTAGAGGGTAAGACTTAGATGACGATAAGTTTTTGTAGATGATGAATTAAATGAGTTTGACAGAATTAGCAATGATTTTCAAATAACTCCCAAAATGAGAGAGATGTTAAGGAACGTTTTTGGAGATCTTGTACGTAAGCTAGTTAATACTAATTTATAAAATATTAGTTTTCAATACTCAAAATTTTCCTTGGGGTTTTGGGGTTTTGGGGTTTTGGGGTTTTGGGGTTTTGGGGTTTTGGGG